TATTGTTCTCTCTTTAAGCTACTGTAAATTTGTTTACAGTGGAAAAAAGTTATATGAACAAAGAATGTTTCACATAAAGAGGGAAAATGCAGAAAGTAGGATAAAAATCATTTGCTATTATTTCTCTAAAGAACTTATCACTAAAAACCATGACACACGTTTCATCCTGTTAAATGTCTTTCAGCTAAACCTGGTTACCTTTTAAAATATAAAATGCTTATTTTCTTTAAAAATATTGTAAATGATTATTCTTGTAATTGCACTTGATTATTCTCTACTTCTAGCTATGCTGTCAAAAAGCATTACTCAGGAAAATCTGGATCTTAAAAAAACAACAAATATCTATAAATATTTTATTTTTAAAGATTAAAACTTTTATGTTCTTCAAGATTAATGAGCAAACTTTTAGCTCCCATTTTCATAGTACATATAATTTACAAATTCCAATCATTAAAAAGCCCCTTCCCAGAAATAACTAAATTCTGTGCACAGCAACAAGAAACTGAATTACTTACACAGAAAGGAAAGCATCTAATTTTTAGCACCTCTGTTAAGAGAAGTCTGATTAGTGAAAGAGTTTCCAGAATCATAAGGAGTCTGATAATACTTAAGGCAGTGTTGACAGTGGAAACCAAAATGTTGGCAGAAAGAAAACTGTAATTGCCAGCAGTAAAGTGGTCATTGAAAAATATCTCAGTATAATTTGCATGTTTTGGAAAAAGGGTTACATCTACAGAAAGACAATCCATTGTAACCTCTTAGTCAAAATAAAACTTAGAATTATCATTGACAATAATATTGTTCTCTGAAAGGCATCATAAATGATTCTGGGTCACCTGATCAAATATACTATGAGAGAGTAATTGGAAAAAATGACCAACCATTACTAGCTGTTTGGGAGGGGGGCTCAATTAATTATCCCGTCTCTGGTGAGCTCACTGCATAAAGGCACCGGCGTCCTGAGGCTTGCAGAAGCACCAGTGCACAATTTCTCCAACACAGTAACCCCCATTAACCAGCCCAAATAATACAGCTGGCAGGTGGTGGGGGCTTTACCAGGGAAGAACTCCACTCAAGGACAAGAGTGGAGCACTGGATGATGAAAAGGACAGAGACTTCCTCCCCAGTGCTGGTAGAGGGCAGCTAGGAAGGGGCATCTGAGAAATGCAAGAGAGGCATGCTTAACCCTCTATCTGCCACTCTTATGCATCCAAGTTAAAGTTATCTTACACACAGTTAAATTTTTCTTAATACTTAACCATTTATTTATTTATTTATTTATTTATTTATTTGAGAGAGAGAGAGAGAGAGAGAGAGAGAGAGAGAGAGAGAGAGAACAAGCAGAGTGGGAAGAAGGAGAAGCTGACCCCCTGCTGAGCAAGAAGCCATACTGGGGGCTCGATCCCAGGACTCTGGGATCGTGACCTGGGCTGAAGGTGGACCGAGTCACCCCGGCACCCCTATTTATTTTTCATACTTAAACAATATTTAAAATTGTCTTTCTTTTTAATGAGAAACTCCTTTAACAGAACTTTCAGCCTTAAAAATCGAGCCACACACATTTAAACACAGAAGAGTGGCAGGTCCTTTCCTGCCAGCTCCTTCCTGTCTTGTCTCACAGCCCTGTCCCTGACACCCCCCCACCACATTACTTTGTTATACCTTCTCCATAGAAACGAACAGACGAATGAATGCCGTACATCAGCTCACTTCTCCTAACTTGCTCAAAATACACTGTCAGTAAATGGTAGGACTGGGATGGCAAACAACCTGGCAATTGTGTTGCCTCTGGCCCACCTCCTGGTGGTGGGCACTCTACTCACCCTGCTCTGTGTCCCCAAGTACAAGGGTGACCACGATCCTCATCACTACAGCCACAGGCGGCTGCTCCTGGCCAAGCGGCGACCTACCAGACGGTTTCCTTCAGTGTGCTTCCCACTCACACTACTCACGAACGTCACAGGTGCTGAGACTGTAATTTCAGGGTGACTATTCCACTGTTCTCTATTCATCTTCATTACTGCCTAAGGGCAACCCTGGATGCCCATTACTGGGGGGCATGGCACAAGAATCTGAGGTCCCTGCAGTCATCTGGGATTTTAACACTCATCTGGTGGAGGTGCTCGACTTCCTACACACCCTTTCAAATACAGATTCCAGGCATGTTAAGTGAAGACAAAAACAAGGTATCTGTCTTGCTATGAGGACTAACATCAGAGAACAGAGGAAATAATCTAACCTCAAAGTACTTTTCCAGATCAAGGGCAGAAGACCTTCTTTATTTAGGAAAATTTAGAAACTAAATATTGTCCTAAAGATCTTCCAATGAGAGGGTATAATTTGAACCCTGTAAAGCTTTTCCTTTTTCCCATAATTTCAAAAGACTCTAATCCTCTGCTTGTTCTTTAGCAATAAACAACCCCTTCCCCCAGACTATTCAGACCCCCACTTTCTGAATCCCACTCTGCTCATTAATTTCACTTCAAAAGAGTCCTGTAGCACCAAGTGTGTGTACAAACTAAGTAAAGGCACATTTATATGAATCTGTCCCCTCTTTTCCATTATTACCACCGTGGAATAAGCCATGCGTCTTTATGTTACGACAATAGAAGATTACTTTTAATTTCATATAATTCACATGTGTCATAAACTATTCTTTTAATTTTTTTCAACCATTCTTGGCTTGTGAGCCATACAAAAACTGGCCATTTTGGCTCATGGGCCATAGTGTGCTGATCCTTGATTTAGATAAAAAAAAAAAACAAAAAACTCTTTACTGATTAAGATATATTTTACATAAAATCCTATTACTATGTGACTTGGACCTCTTTTTCACTCTTATTTTAATTTAAAATGTAATCTATTTCACTTAATTTATTCCTTTGTTCATTATAAGTATTTCCTTGTGCCTGACTTTGGTCAAGTGATTAATTATTCATATAACATGGGGGTTATTTACCTAAATATTTGAAAGTTCACATATTATATAATGTTATACTTTCATGGTCAATTTGTCTAGAATGTCTGAGCATTATAATTTCCCTAATACTGGACAGTCTGTTCCAGGATAATAGGATCTATTTTTTTTAAGATTTTATTTATTTATTCACAAAAGACAGGGAGAGAGAGAGGCAGAGACACAGGCAGAGGGAGGAGAAGCAGGCTCCATGCAGAGAGCCTGATGTGGGACTCGATCTCATGCCCCGAGCCAAAGGCAGATGCTCAATCACTGAGCCACCCAGGCGTCCCGATAACAGGATCTATTTCTCATGTTTCTCAGTGTCTCAGGTGTATGAGTGATTTATTGAGAGGAGAAAGATAGTCAAGAGAATGAATGGAAGATGCTTAAAGGTGGATGAGATGCATATAATTATCAAAGTTTTTTTTAAAAAAACAAAAAACAAAGTCTTTTCACGGACCTTTTTTTCTCCAAAGGGAATGAGTAAGCCAAACTCTTTTGTGGAAGTAAGGATTAAGTAATAGTGAGTTACTGAGAAAACAGTAATAAATGTGAACTAGTAAGAGAAAAGCATTTGTTGAATGATAAATAATATCTTCTCTTTAGAGGAATGAGCCCAGGTACAGAATTTCCAAAAAGATGGTATCAATAGCTGCTCTGGCTAGGTCTCCCTGCTAATCAGCCTTCTGTCCTCTATTGGTGGAGGGAGGTGGACATTATTAAATTTTTTGTAGGTAAAATAGATAGACGGCCTGGGTCAAACCGGTATCTGCTTAAAATGAGCTGAATTTACAGTATTTTTGTTACACTGTCTAAGCTTGTCAGTAACACTACCACCCATTGTCTAGGTTTTTACTGATAAAACCAAAAAAAGTAATGTGGAAATTATGTGAATAATTTGGGTAAAAAAAGGATGAACTATCTGGATTTTCTTTCAATCTTCAGAAGAACATACATTTTCCTGGAAGACCATGTTTGCCTCTACAGCACCATTCATCATAATGATATTAGACCTTTTCATTGTGTTGTTTGGAGTTAGCACAAGCAGCAGCATAAAATACAAACTTTTAAGATGTAATGAACCACTGAGAACACAAGGCATGTTTTCTGTTGTCTACCTACTATATAAGTGCATGGCTCCTACTACCATCATTACAGTAAAATCTGAATGAAAACTCAATGCCATGTAAGCCCATTTTCTACATAATATTTGACTGTTTATAATGTAAACAAATCCATTTTCAGGCTTACTGGTGAAAAATAAGTTGTATAAGCCAGTACTTTCAGCCTATGGGATTCATTTAAATGATAAACAGTATGACTTTTACAAGAAGGATTTTTAACATAATTTACAAAGAAATCAGTGTTTTATCACCTTATTAAAATCATCTAAGAGTACTGTAGGCCTTAATTTGTATCTCCAAAATGAATAAAAGAAACAAAGGCAACTAACTCACTTTAAAGCAGGGTGGGCTGATGATAGGATGATTCTGTGAAAATTAAGAACAGTGAACACAGGGTTTACATTTCTAGTCCTCTCTTGAATGAATGAATGGGCAGATAATTAAGACTTTGGTTGTTACTATTATATACTGTTTCACTAAACCTTTGGCAGTCTCTTTGTTTTCAGGTACAGAATAAAACCATAGGAATCTCCATTCTTTGTCATGGTGAGTAGAGAATACATACTTGAGAAGGTATAACATTACATCCACCCGGATGGAAAACGGCAGTCAGTCTACTCAACATATAGTTTCTTCCTTTTCAGATAACCAGGACATTCAGAATTACTCAGACACCATGTCATGTGTTTAAAGAAGAGAGAGAAAATAAGAAAGAAGGGATCCTCTAGGTCAAAGAAAGCAGTAAGCATTTACTCTGAGGAAAGAAACCAATACAATTTGAAAATGAAGAATTCTCAAAGGAAAGCTTGATCCACCGTGTTCATCTCTGGAAAAGGTGAGATTCTAAACCCATTAGGAAAGAGCAGGGAAGGTTATGTTCAATTTCTTTCACTCTAATTGAAAACGTTTATACTTACATCTTGTCTTGGCCAGCACCAACTCTGAGAGTCAATCGGGGGATGACTGGACTTGGGGCTGGAACAATTGGCTCCACTTTTATCTGTTGAAGTTATTACATTAGAGTTAAATGTGGTTTCGACAAAATTCCTCCTACTCCTTCTTCTACTTCCTCATCTCCACAAACCTGATAAGCCAGTTTAAGCCTTGAATGTGGCTAAAATGCTAGATCCAAGGACCATCTGGGCTATTTTGTTTTTTTAACAACCAAAGGCTATCTGGCTTCGTGAGAAATTCTACAAACTTGAATTACATCGTGAAAGTTATGGGAGTTATTTCTGTATTTTCTTAGTTCTGGTTAATTTCTTGGATTTTATGGTTAGAATTTTTAAACAAAAACTTCTCTAGATCATTTGGTGAACATTAATTTCCAGACTTAATAAAGTAGAAAAAAATGCACTGATATCTGCACCTATAAGCTAAAATGTATTTGTTTATTGAACTTGAAAAACATAAACTCATCCTAAGTTTGCATCATCATATAAGAAAATGGAAACACCAAGTGTAACTGCAGCATTAAACTGCTCTGTTTTTAGCTTGTGGTCAACAGATCTGCAAAAGAAAAAATAGACCTTTATAGAAGGATTTGTAGTGAAGGCAACATCTGATGAATAAACTGAAGATCTTTGCAAATATTTGAGCTCATGGTCAAATATCAAGTATGACTTTAAAGGGGTTCTTCACACGTGTTGGTGTGAAGAGTTCACGGTATAATATTTTGAATGAACAAACTGAACAAAAGCTCTGTAGCTCCAAATATCATCAATGTCAGAGATTTTCAACAGGTGTTTGACTGGCATTTTTGGTGGGATAGTCCTTTGTTGAATGGAACGGTGCAGGCATGGCCAGATGTTCAACATCCTTGGCCTTGGGCCCTGCCATATGCCAACAGTCGCTGCTAGTTACTGTGATGATTAGCTGCAAGCCACTGACTTTTAAATATGTCAAGCCCAAAAATTAAATCCTAATAGGACAGTGTGGTAGTTCTAAAGGGGAATGAATCTATAACATAATGCTCAATATATTATATCATCTAGTTAATACATTGCACATAGATCAAATTTACCATTTTTTCATATATTTTTAGCTATTTCCTTTGAGTTGTTTTTTTTAAATCCATCATCATGTCAATACCTGTGGTTTCGACCATTCTCTTGAACAATGGCATGTGGGAGGCACTCAAATACTTACTGAATTAATAGCTCAAACACCTTCAACTCTCTGCCTCTGGGTTGTTTTGCCATCTGTCCAGAACCAATTCAAAATCATCCTCAAGGCCACCAAGTAATTCCAAAGAAAATTTTAAAGATCATGTAAACTTAGCAGAAACTCCAATTCCGTCTCTGCCTTCAACGCTGTGTATCTGGATCACCTGCCAAACCAGGTAAGCACAGAGACCACCTCGGTTTAGCTTACTGCTACTTTGTTGTGCCTATCATAGGGGCTGACACACAGTCAGTGCATGAGACACAATCGAAGTTGTCTGAAGCAACAATTTCAAACTCTTACCTCTTTCAAGACCTATCCTGTGATTTCCTTTCTACTTTTGTCTCTCCAGCTCCACCGGAGAAAGCACTGAGGCCACCAGGCAGGAGAACTTCTTCAGCCCACGCAGATCTACAGACTTCTCTGCACCCGATAGTGTACCAGAGTCCCGCTCCTCTGGTCTCTTAAGGAGACGTCCTCCTTATGTAGGCATCTTCAACCTCATAGTGCCACGATTTTCCACTAGTTTTTAAATATGCTCAACGATCTTAAAAAACCTGCCTGCCCTTCAGCCTTCTACTGACCACCTCTCCTATATCAGACTCCTGTCAATTGTCTCCTTCTTCACTTACTCATTCTTCAATCTGCTCCAATCTACTTTCTCTCCCAACCAGGCCACTGAAACCACTCTCCCCCAGACACCAATCATTTCCTGATGTCCTAGTGTGCCTTCCACTGGGGGTCTCACTGGCCCCTTTCCTTCTCCTCTACTAAGTCCTCTGCTTGACCACGTCCTCTTGGCCCTCTACACTTTCTTCAGTGGGTATATCCATGTTCATGGTTTCAATGGTAGGTTTTACAATATGCCATGACTTCAAAATTTCCATCTCTAGACTAGCACTGATTGAGCCCAAGACCACAACAGAATATTACCTACTCAACATTTTCAACTCAATATCCTTTAAGTGTTTCATCTCACCACATCTAAACTTTAACTTGTCAACTTTCTCACGAAAGCCCGCTCCTCCAAATGGTCACTTTTGATGCATGTCTCATCCACTTGCCCAGTTCTTTGGACAGTATATCCCAGTGGTTTTCCTTAAGGCTCTAGGGGACCAAGGGCCACGGAAGGTGGGGGGGGCAGTAAGAGCAAGACCCATGGATAACTAGCTAGGGTTTGTACCCATTTTCCCCAACTCTTTTTTAACAGAGGGTTCCGTATCTAAACAAATCTGAAAAACCAATAGTTTGGTCTATTTTGTAAACTATTAAGATTTCTCTACTTTTCTCACCTTTCTGTATTATCTGTAGGAGAAGAGACAAATATATCCAGAACAAACATTTTAAACTGCCTGCTACTTGCCAGGCATTGTGATTGGGTATTTTTTAGATGTTCTCCAGAGTTTTTTTTTTTTTTTTTTTCAAACAAACATGAGGGGGTAGGCATTATGGTTTCTGTTTTACAGGGAAAGGTATCATATATGAAGCAATCATTTTTCCTTTTCCTTTTTCTGTTCTAAGGTCACACAAACAGCAAAACTAGGAATGGATTCGGTTGTTTTGTTTCAGAGAATGGAAAATTACATACAGTTCCTATATTTCCTTAATTCTAAAAAAACTTTAGGGTAATATGGTTATAAATTATGAGTAATATTCCACATTCCTTCACCCTGCAATATTATTTAATCACTTAACCCTTCCTTAAGCTTTATTTAAAAATAAAGCTGCTCTACCTTGAAAAAGATCTTTACCATTACCATATTTCACACTGTCGTTTGGTTCATATCACACTACACAATAATCATAACTCACACCTGCATAGCACCAAGTGTGTTCCATATATGTGATCCAATATGGATCTGTGAACTCTTTGAACTCTGTTTAGTAAGTAAATGATCTTTGAACTCTGTTTAGTAAGTAAATGATCTACCTGTAGGTCTCCTGACACTAAGTTCACTCTTACCTCTACCATGTTGCCGAGTCCTTTGTTCCAGTAATGCTGGTGTCTTACATGGAGCTGGCTACTCACTTTCTTGTAAATGTCTTTTATGATGAATGACATATATTTGTGAAATGGCTAGTGTTGGTTGTTGCTGTTTTTAGAAAGGGAGAGAGAGAGGCAGGAGAGGTGAGGGGCAAAGGGAAGGAGAGAGAGGATCTTAAGCAGACCCATGTCCAGAGCAGAGCCAGACTGGGGCTCAATCTCATGACCCTGAGATCATGACCTGAGCCAAAATCAAGAGTCAGATTCTTAACTAACTGACCCACTCACGTGCCCCCAGGTTTGGTTGTAAAATCATTTTTCTCTATGTAAGGCTAACTGGTTTATATGGAAATTGTGATTGACTTTGGCTTCACCTCCATTCAACTAAACTGGCTTTTTTTTTTTTCTTTTTAAGATGTAAATAGAGGTGCTTATTAAACTGGCTGGGTTGTTGATGCCATCTTAAGTAACTTGTCAAGGTAAAAGAATCAAGACATGGTTTATTTATGTTATACTATTTAAAAAGTTTAAATGATACTATATGTAAAGAAAGAAGCAAACAAAAACAGAGATACATCTTCTAAGTCCAATTAAAAATGGTATATATGTGCCCTGAAGAAAAAAGATATTTTGTAAACGTGTGGAATTAATGAATGATTCAGAACCCTGTTACCTTAGCTCCAAACTTTTCCTTGGGTAAAATTAGGGTGACCACATCATCCAGAGACATCTTTGAGAGTGAGAGTGGGAGCTATTATTTACGCCAAAAAAGTGTGTAAACTGGGATTGTCCTAGGCAAACCAGGACAGAGAGTAGCCCTCCCAACAAATACTTAAAACATTAATTTCACTCTTAAAGAAGCTAAATAGGATTTAACTTACAGATAATATTCAAAAATATTAATGAGGATGCTAATAACAGATACACAAAATATCATTTCTAAATTAGAATTTACCAGACTTCTGTTTACATTAACTTTATCCAAAATGCCTACCAAAATAAAGACAAAGACATTTCCTGCATTCATAAAGTAATTTCTCACATGTCCTTCTCAGAAATCACTAAACAAATGACAATTATTTGGAATTACTTAAAACCATTCGACTAATGCCACATTTTAATGGCATGAAGCCAAACTCTGGGGACAACACGAGCTTCTAAGGGTTAAAATAAAAGCACTGCACTTGAGAGTGAGCTGAGAATTGGGGCGCGCAGAGCATTTACAGTGGATTACTAAGCTTCCCAATCCACCAAAGAGCAAAGTCCAGTAATAGAAGACTCCTTTGTAGCTAACTAAAAATACATTGTCAGTGGATTTGTCCAGTTTTATGTATAAGCAATACTGCTTTCACCTGAACTAATACTAGTAGTCATATAAGCCCCTTATTGCCATGTGCTGCATTTTTTTTGCTAATCTTCAAGGATTTAGCTTCTTTGCCACATACCTCAGGGCACCAACTGATAAAGCTCTAACTCTCCATTTTTCCAGGACACCAGCAGTGCGGCCTTGCAAAAAATGAAAATCGCTCAAGAGATTTAAAGGGGAAATTTATTTTTAAAATCCTGACTTGAAGCAAAGAGGTGGATTTTTAAAAAGCTTATCTATAAAGAATCAGTTTAAATTTAAATTCTATCTTGGAACTCTTTCATGCATTCCAGCTTTAAAGTTTATCTTCTGACAGGGACTTTCTGCAAAGGTAATGGGCAGCTTTGTCAATATAATCTGGCCAAGTTTTTATTTTCTATTTTTTTTTTTAATGTTAAACTTCTTTCACTTAAAAAAAATGTGTGCTAGATAGAGGAGCAGCAAGTTCAGCGAATGCTAGTTCAGATTCCCATCTATGATATCCAGA